CTCACTGCGGCCTCTGCCCCCTGGATTCACAAGATTCTCGTGCCTCAGTCTCCAGAGCGAAAACTCCATCTGAGGAAAAAAAAAAAAAAAATCTGAAATCTGAAACTCTCCTGATCCCAAGTATTTGGGATGAGGAATACTTAGCCTGTGATTTTAAGTGGTCATAGATGGCTGTTTTGTTGGAAGGGACTTTGTTTGTGCTGTGCCATGACTTGTGAGCTAGTCTGTCAGGAAGCCCCTTCACTTGTACCTCCCTTCTTAGGTTCATGGTGCACATCTGCATGTGTTTTTTTATTTTTTTAATTTATTTTTATTTTTTATTTTTTGAGCCTCACTCTGTTGCCCAGGCTGGAGTGCAGTGGTGTGATCATGGCTTACTGCAGCCTCAACCTTCTGGGTTCAAGTGATCCTCTGCCTCAGTCTCCCATGTACCTGAGGCCACAGGCACGCACTGCCACACCTGGCTAATTTTTATTATTTTTTGTAGAGATAAGGTCTCGCTATTTTGCCCAGGTTGGTCTCGAACTCCTGTGCCCAAGCAATCCTCCCATCTTGGCCTCCCTAAGTGCTGGGATTACAGGCGTGAGCTGCTGTGCCCAGCCTCATGTCTGCATGTTAAAGTTTCTGAGAATTCCTATAGAAAAGAAATTTGACTTGACTTTATGCAGTTCCCCTAAACTTACTTTTTTTTTTTTTTGAGATGGATTCTCGCTCTGTCGCCCAGGCTGGAGTACCGTGGCCCAGTCTCAGCTCACTGCAAGCTCTGCCTCCTGGGTTCATGCCATTCTCCTGCCTCAGCCTCCCGAATAGCTGGGACTACAGGCGTCTGCCCCTATGCCCAGCTAATTTTTTTTTTTTTTTGTATTTTTTAGTAGAGACGGGGTTTCACCGTGTTAGCCAGGATGGTCTCGATCTCCTGACCTCGTGATCCACCCATCTTGGCCTCCCAAAGTGCTGGGATTACAGGCTTGAGCCACCGCGCCCGGCTATTCTCTTTAGCTGTTTACACACCCATTCTGTATAATTAGATGTCATTGTGCATTCTTCACTTTTATCGCTTATTACGTCAGCGGCAGGTTTGTAATACCAACACACGTAAACTTTTACAGCCAGCATTTCAGGGGCTGCATAATTCCCCACCAGGTTGGCACACTCCCCTGGGTGTCCCTTCTCTCCCCTGGGAGACCTCTGGCAGAGGTCAGGATACGGTGGGAAGTGTCTGGACTTGGCCGCCAGCCAGGCTGGATCCAGGTGTGGCCTCTGGTGGCCCCGATTAGCTCCATGACCCTAGATCTGAACAGCAATGTCTTGTGGCTCTGAGGTGTTGGGAAGTGGAATATCTTCAGTGCCAAGCTGAGGACACCGCACTTCCTTCCGGCCGTGGTGGGAACAGTCACTGGCCAGCACTCTCCGGGCGCGGGCTGGTCAGTGCGCATCTTTGAGCATTCAGGTAGCTGGAGGAGGATGGATGGGATGGGTGAGAGAACCAGACCCAGGCTAGGGAAACCGGTCGAAAGCTTGCGGGCCCGGTGATTCATGGTGCCATGTGGAAACTTCTTTTCTGATTCCGGAGCCAAAGAACAATCTCAGAGGATAGAGTGTCTTTTCCCTCTGAGCTCTCCAGGAGCTGAAATCCCTTTGCTTAGGAATGGAAATTGACACTGGGCTGCTGCTGCTGTTTCCTGAGTGACTGGATTGTTTGCCCTAGAATTAGGATTTATTCAAGAACATTAAGCTTACTTTTTCTAAATCGGGTAAGCATAATAATATCTGTGTCTGAAGATAAACTGAATTCTGTGTTCAAAGGATGTATATAGTGCATACATTTTGACTCTTAACTATCATCATCTATTTTGGTCATGACAAAATTGAGGGGTCAACCCTTTTTTTCCCCAAGGGGATGCGTTCACTTTTGACCAATATCTGTGGTTTCATTTACAGATTCCCACTGGAAATTCGTTGTATGAATCTTATTACAAGCAGGTGAGTTTAGCTGATGTCTTTTCAGATGGAACTAGAGCATGCCTGAGCTGAAAGCACAGTATGGAATAGAAGCCCGGCTGAGCGGCTTTTTGTCCTTTTCTGTTCGCTGTCAGTGGATAGTCAGCGTGGCGGGTGCTGTTTCACCTGCTGCTGCATTTGCTGAAAAGTTATTTTGCCTCTTGCTCTCCCATCTCAGGTCGATCCAGCATACACAGGGAGGGTGGGGGCGAGTGAAGCAGCGCTTTTTCTAAAGAAGTCTGGCCTCTCGGACATTATCCTTGGGAAGGTATGTGAAGATGAATAGTGATTTCTCTTCTGTGGCTGCCCTCACAGCTCCCCCCGCAGGTCAGGGCCAGCCTGTGCAGGCCTCCTTGCATGGGACTGGGCCTCCTGGGGAGTGGCCTGGTCACTGCAGACCTCTCAGACTGCAGCTGGTGGATCCAAACGCCCAGGTGGCAGCCCCCACAACTACTTTGCTAGCAGACAAGAAACCCGAGTACTTTTGGGGTCTTGATAGCTTGTGGACTTTTTTTTTTTTTTTTT